TCTAAAGAAAATTATCTCTTTGAAAATTCGTATATTTATCAGTCAATTTATTGCAGAAATTTTATTTCTTTCTACAGCGTATGTATGTCTTTATCGCCTGAAACGAAGAGCAATAAGCTCGCAAATGGCTAGTCGATGGGAAATCCCCTTTCTAGGTCAGCTCACTCTAACAGCGACCTCAGCCATGGTCAGTCAGCAATGTTTGACTGACTGGGTCAAGCTGACCCGTTTCACGCTAATCACAGCTGATAGATCTAGTCATCCAGCCAGATGTTGGTGTTATTATTGTGTTATTGGGGATTATCCAGTCTCTTCCAGTCAATTGTTCTGCGATAACTGGGATAATTAACTGACCATGGGTATATTGATTTTTACACAGTTAATAAATAATGGTTGATGACGTGTCGATAACTGTAAAACATCTGCATGGGCAATTTACAACGCTTACACTGCCTGCTTGTATATTCATTAATATTTGTGTTAATCAAGAAACTCTGGATGGTATAATATAATTAGGGCCTTGTGATAGTTTGAAATTTCAAATTGTTTAAGCGGTATTTAGTAAATGAATGACACAATTATATCGAATACATGAAATGAAAAGAAATGGGGTTTAACGTCCTACTGTTTTGCTCCGAGCTGGGCTAATGAAGGCGGGCATACGCCATACAATGTGCCATGAGGGAAATTTTGCCCGAACAGCAGCACTACGGACTACTCTTATATCGATATCCAACTGTCAATGGATCTTTAACGTGTACGCCAATGTGTACACAGGATATCGGTTTTTCGTTAATATAGAAACTCTGGATGACAATTAGGTCCTTGTGATATTTTTATAGTTGGAAATTTTAAATTGTTTAAGCGACAATTAGTAAATGAATGACACAGTTATATGGAATACAAGATATCTAAAAGTTTTTTTTTTCTGGTGACGTTTCGACGAGTGTTTGATAAAGAATAGAGAATCCTAGTCGAAACGTCGCTAAAAATAAACTTTAAGTAACTTGTATTCCATATAATTGTGTCATGTGTTATTGGTATTTCAAGTTTGTAAAAGATCAATTGAGTCGCATAATCTGACCGTCTTATGAATCAATATTTGTATTTAAACAGAAACACCGTCAACATGTATCCAAGTAAAAATAAACAATAAAACGAGTCGGTGAATAGCGAGTCTAAATCACTATCCTGACAGTGAACTGATGCATAATAATTGTAATTTTGTTACACGAAATTGGTGTCACAAACACGCTACGCGAACAATTACATTTATATTTGCTAGCGTACTTCAATAATATATTAGTTTTAAAGGATGGGAGTATTTTTTTTTAATGATGACGGTATTTTTGAGCAAGGTCATTGAAAACGAAACTTGGGATGATTAAACTCATTATTCAGACCTTGCATGATAAGTGTGAAAAGCCTCAACTAGAATGGTACAAGAACCGATCTTTGTGGAACCCCGAAAGGATATTTTAGAGAAATCACATCATCAGTTCCAACGGAACATGTTTATCGTTTGTTTTTTTGTTTGTTTTTTTTTTTGTTTTTGTTTTTGCATTTTATTTTATTCATCGAGTATGGGCACGGTGTAATTGACTGTTCCTAAAATACAAATATTTTAAAAATGTGAAACTTTTAATAAAACTACCACTGCTAAAATAATAATAATATTTCTTTGCACAGTTTTATTAGTTTTAGTCACCTATATCATCCAAAGTGCAAACGGACGTAAACTCTGATAATTATTATTAGTATTAGTAAGGGTTTGCGTCCGTTTCTATCTATAGTAATAAGCCCATTTATATCGCGCTAATTTCACATATAGTCTTGCTCATAGCGCTACAAAACACACAATCACTCTTGCAGATATTTCTCAAATAAGTATGTTTTCAATCTGGATTTAAAGGAGTCTAATGATGAACTGGGTCGAAGATTTTCAGGTAGTGAGTTCCACAAATTGGCAGCAACAACACCAAATGAGCAAGCTTCAATGGAGTTTAGTTTATATGGTGATATCGCCGACTAAAACTAATAAAACTGGGCAAGGAAATGTTATTAAATCCTAGTCAAGTATGTTTGCAATTCACATAAAGTTCATGCTAGGTTATATTAGCTTTTAGACTTATATCATTGCTTATCGCGGTGGCCATGTTCTTTGTTAGGTGATCAACGAACCGTGACTAATCAAACATCCCTCTCGGGTCAAACCCAAAAGTTACCTAATATCTCATTTGTTCTGATTGGTCAATAACTGACCGGCCTAATACAACGTGGATATTATCATATTAGTTATGGTATTATGTAACTTATAGATTTACCCCCCTGGTCGATGTACTCAGTCCGCTGTTAGGTTATGATAAGCTAGCAGTTCTAAATGTCACGCAGCCCTTCTCTAAATGAAAATGTCAATTAAGTAAATAAGGGGTAATAAAGAAAAATTAGAACATGGAATACGTAACACATTGATTAACTTTATCATCACGATGTCATGGCGACTGGTCTCGGATCGATGTGGATTGATAAATGAAATGGGGGGGGGGGGGTGTTAACGTCTACCTGTTCTGCACAAGATCTGGACAGAGGTCCTTCGAATGGTGGACCTGTGGGCGCTGTTTCTCGAAATCTTAACTAAAGATAGACTTTAAATTTTAGTAGATACTTCAATTTTGATTGGCTAAGCACTAAAATCAATCTAATATTATCCAATCAAATTACTAAAATTTGGATTTTATCTTGGTTATAATTTCGTGAAACAGGCCCAAGATTTTGCTTGAGATCTGGCACTATGGAGGACGAAATTAACACAAAAGCATATTTGATGATTTGAGAATAGTTCTAGAGTTTCCCATAGCTGTGTTAATTATGATAAACTACTTCTACATCTACACGTATAAGCATACATATATCAATTAGTCATTTCCAATTATACAGACATAACAAACATCTAAAACGAAAAATGGGAATCCAACTGCAAGGAAACCATCATTTGTTACATGCAAGACATTTGCTCAAAGATATTTTACTTCAGTCTGAAGCATAAACACGAATTAAAGGTGATTTTTGTAAATAACAAAGAAAATATTTCCATGTCTTTTAAAATTTGTAGCCGTAATTTGGATGTGTGTGTTGAGCGGGGGGGGGGGGGGGGTGGGGGGGGGGGGTGGGTGTGAATAGCCCCCCCGCACTTTGCGTGATAAATGCATGTCAGAGGTCTTACTGTTTGTCAATATTTTGATTCAAGAAAAAAAAAACGTTTCGGGCATTTTAACAATGACCTTTAGGTGTCCTCGAGAGAGAAATGAAGCAATGTTTATTGTTGTAAATCAAATCGCCTGGAACATAGCGGTCATTAGCGCGTGAAGATCACGTAATATGACGTAACAGACGTCTTATTCGGCCAGTGGTTACCATAATGAAAATACGGCGAGGCCACTTAACTGTGACCCTACATTCGGTCAAAGACCAGCTGTACGACCCATTAATTATACGGATTAACTTTCTGTCTGTTCCGTGAATGTAAACACGAATGTATTTCGGGGTCCTAGATGTTTTTTTAAAGACTGGATCTACAACTCTTAGGTCCACTGTGAAATGCAGATTTATACACAAACTAAATGAACTGAGTTTAATGTCCTACTTTTCTGCACCAACCAGGCTAATGAAGACGGACATACATGTACACGTGCAGTGTACTACGAGGACAATATTGCCCAGATGACGGCGTTTCCGCCTACTCTTCAAATTCCGTTTGCCAGGGGGTATTTTACGTGCACGCCAACCTGTACACAAGGACTTCGATGTTTTGTCCAACCCGACAGACCCGAACGCGGCCCACTCCGTCTTGCACCACTAACGAGAGAAACCCACGCCGGGAAATCCCGAGGGACCTTCTTCGCCAACATCGGGATCGAACCTTGTTAGTCAGACAACGCGTTACTCGTTGAACCATCGTGGCCACATACCAAAACTAAGGTAACAGATTATTGGAAATCTCAAAGGGCAATGGTACAGTACTTCCAGTAGCTATTATAATATCCCCTTGTGATTATTATTGATCATTTCATTATCTGATGTCCACAAACCTGGATAGTCAGATGTTGTGACAACCTTAAAGTTATTAATAGTAATAACTACATCACCGCTTTGTTCTACCCGAACAATCAATGGGTCAAATGTAATATATGCCGTTCTGAATACAAAATGAAATGGGGTTTAACGTCCTACTTTTCTGCACCGACATTTGTATTTGTATATCCACAACATATTAATGAAATTAAATGGGGTTTAACATTCTGCTCCGAACTGGGCTAATGAAGACGGGCATACACCATACACTGTGCTATGAGGGATATTTTGCCCGGACAGCGGCACTGTCGCCTACTCTTATATTGAATTCCAACTGTCAAGGGATCTTTTACGTGCACGCCAATGTGTACACGGGACCTCGGCTTTTCGTCCTTTGTCGGGCCCTCCGTCCTGCATCACTGACAAAGGGGTGGGGGGGGGGGCACACCGGAAAATCTAGATGATTTTTCTCAGCCAATGCAGGGATCGAACACCCGACCTCCAGGCTAGCGAGCCAGCGTCTTACCCACTTAGCCACCGTGCCCCTCCCCTCCCCTCTCAGTAAAAAAATATACAACACAAAATACTACACTAGGTCATACGGGGTAACCTAATTAAAATTATATCCCCCTACGCCGAAGAGGAAGCATAATCTGCCTCACTCCCGACACCCACCATACGTGTATTAGTGTCAAAATAATCGACCAATTGAGTTAGTTACAATCCATTCCATTTTCAAAGATGATAAAAAAGACTACCCCCCCCCCCCTCCAGACACAACAGTGTTTTCAGCTTGAAAGGGAAATATTATGCCGAGTGTGTTACAGTTTGCTTGAATGTTTATTCACCATTTTTATTTGATGCAGAAAAATACATGAAGGACGTTAAACCCCATTTCATTTCTTTGTAAAAAGTAGATCTTTACTCACCCTTTCGTCTGGCATTGGCCTCTGCTTCAGGATTGGCATCAGTTGCGGTTGGTGGTATGTCGGCAGGTACCATCGATGACAGTTGTCCTCCACTTGGTTCTCTGGAATAAGTCATCACTTCTGGATACTGGTCGAATGCCATTTCTGCTGATGCCGTGGATCGTCTCTCAGCGTTTCTCCTCTCTTCTTCCGGTAATATTCAATCGTCTCTTTCGGTGTGACGTAACGTCAATGGCGGCCGATGTTGAGGGCTTTCAGTTGCTTCTGTTCACTTTAACCTCTACCAGTGTGATCTGACATAAAGAATTGGGTGTCTGGCTAATTAATCCAAAAGTTCAAATAAAGATGCAAGAGTATAAACTGGGAATACTGGACCATGTACATTGGAAGTTTTACATGTATCGTCTGCTACTCCAGATGATGTAGTTCTGCAACCTTCCGCCCCGAAATCCGCACGTCTACTCGCCACTAACTCCCTGACTCAACTGACCATGATGAACAAATCGCTCAGGCTTGACCACCGAGACCTGATGTAATAATTAGCAAGTGAATGGACTTGGGTTGATCCATTGTGCATATTAGGGGGTCAAAGGGTCACGAGGTGGTCAGCTTGATTGCTCAGCGTGTCAGTGGTTTTCTGTGTTTATTGCACATCCCTGTGCATTTAATACCCCTTTCTGAAAAAATGACGTAATTCGTCCAACCGCTAGAAAACTCATTCAAAGATGTTTCATTGATTCGCCACTTGTTTGCAAATTCTGAGCTTGTGCAACTCCCACAACGACCAATTCTGCTTTTACATATTTTTCTCCGGGGACTTTTTTTGTCTTTTCTTTATCTATTACATATTTATTGCAATATTTTTTGTGAACGGTAACAATACAAAAAAACGGCCACTCCATAAGTAAGATTCTTTAAAATCTGTTCATTTGGATTTAGAAACTAAGCGTACTAGTATTTACTAAAAATAGATGCTTGCACCCCTTTGAAATGAAATGGATCGATCTTTAAGGACACCAAGGGCATATGCTCGTTGTGGTTGCAAACTGTTGCCCACTGTCCAGAAATGAAGTTGAGGTCAAAGGGGCGTGGCTTAACGATTGTTGATCGACATTGACATGTGCTCTGGAGAGTTACGTAATTTGTGTTAGGTCGGATTTAGTGTCCGTTTCAGCTGGTACGTGAACGCTTGATTAACCATCTCACTTAATCTGTAACCCAGAAATAGAAACAAAATACAAATTCGTCACATGATCGCCGTAATGACGTAATTCAGCTCCTGTGATTGCAGACGTCAAAATTTGATCTTACTTGACATGGCAAAATTTAATTTTCACGCCTCTCAACAAAGCACGCGTGATATCTCTCAATTACATTTTTATATGTCAATCAAAACATACTACTTAATAACGGTTGAAAATTGAAATAATCTGGACAACGCAAACCAATAGGCTGAGGCAGAACCAATTTCCTTTCAACATAATCTAATACAATTACATAGTTCCAATATTTTCTATGCGCGGTTGGATGAAACCGAAAGCCCCCCCCCCTCCCTCTTTTTCAATGGCTTCCATCTAGGGTGATATCGCAGACAAGAAAGCCAATTAAAATCGATGCGTTAAATCGCACTGTGAAGAAGGGGATATCTATTGTTTGTCTATATTTAAAACTGTAGATCAACCGATAAATAAAATGAAATAAAATGGGGTTTAACGTCCCACTATTCCCCTCCGACTGGGCTAAAGAAGACGGGCATACATCATAGCCTACACTGTGTGCTTTGCCCAGGTAGCGGAACTACGACCTACCCTTATATCAAATTCCAACTGTCAAGGGTTCTCTTATTTACACTTCAATGTGTACACGGGACCTCGGCTCGGTTTTTTTGTCCCATCCGAACGATTGTACGTTGTCCCTTGCCAGACCTTCCGTCCTGAACAACAGACTGGGGGAACCACGCCGGAAAATCACGATAAACTTTGTCGGCCAACACAGCACACGGGACCTCCAGGTAAGAGAGCCAATGCCTTACTCCCTGAGCCACCGTGGCTCACTAGATGATAAAGCTTATATTAAGATATAACTAATTTCTTGTTGAATAGTCGTCAACAACCGAAAATTAAATAAGTAAAGAAATCTCCGTTTAATGGCATATAGCTTTCTTCCATCATAATCCAGTTTGGCCAAAATCAAAGAGAGTTCATATTCCTTACCATATACGGGATCGGACCCACGACCACAGTGGTGACACGCTAAACCATCCACAGGCCCACGCTGTACCATTCGGCCTCTAGAGGTCTATAACGCCCATGTACAATAGTGGGATCGACCCCACGACCACAGTGGTGACACGCTAAACCATCACCAGGGCCACTCGGTTATCCATTCGGCCCCTAGAGGTCTATAACGCCTATATTGGCATACAAATGTATGCCCCAAGTATAGACATATGTTCTTTTTTAAAACAGGGGATCACGGTGGCTAAGTGGGTAAGGCGCTGGCTCGCTAGCCTGGAGGTCGGGTGTTCGATCCCTGCATTGGCCGAGAAAGTTCATCCAGATTTTCCGGCGTGGTTCCCCCTTGTCAGTGATGCAGGACGGAGGGCCTGACAAGGACAGCTGTCTAGTCATTCGGATGAGACGAAAAACCGAGGTCCCGTGTACACATTGGCGTGCACGTAAAAGATCCCTTGACAGTTGGAAATCGATATAAGAGTAGGCCGTAGTGCCGCTGCCCAGGCAAAATTCCCCTCATAGCACACTGTATGGCGTATGCCCGTCTTCATTAGCCCAGTATAGGAGCAGAACAGTAGGACGTTAAACCCCATTTTATTTCATCATTTCCAACTGGGAGAAAATATGTGAGGACAAAGGAGTAAAAACCCCGCCCTGAGTTCACAAAGCATTCTTAGACTTACATTAAGAACTTTCAATCACTGATCCAGAAGCACAAAACTTTACTTGTTAATTTATTTGATACATTAAAACAACAAAAGTTGTATAAAGGGCTACATTTTAGTTAAAACAGGGCGATTAATTTTGAGTAATTGTTTGTCTTTTTGTGTTTTTCTGAGTATGATGTCTTGTCCGTGTATTTGTTTTTATGTAAGTTTTGTGTGGTGCAGTCCCCCTGCACTTACTATTAACTTAAGTCTGTGGAGGCTTTGTGAATTAGGGCCCAGGCCTCTAGTATACCTCCCTGCAGGACTCACACAAATGGCCTCATAACCATAAGAAGTCTATCGGTTGCGTATTTATTTGTTTTGTGTGGGAGTATTTATTCATCGCGATTGTATTTAATTTTTGGCGATGGGACAAGACCACCCTTGTTGTTAATTGTTGATGTAACCCAAGACGCTTAAACCATTAACAAATGTAGCCTACTTCAAGATGGCTTCCTCGCCGGTCTACCTCGACTCGTCACGGTGTGCGCTATGGTTACGCAACGTTCTCACGGGATTTGACCAGGCTTCTTGTCTGGTGTAGCAGATCTCCCAATACAACCCGCCCCAGGCCCCGAAACACAGTCACAAAACAACACAACTTGATCCACATCCGCTGACTTTAGACGTTGTTAGACGAGATCAAAGATCCCTGTTTCAAGGTTCACTAGCGGATATGACATATTTCACCAGGGGTGTATGACCTTAACCCACAGGACAACAGCCACATGACGTAATGTTAGACACGCGGTCGATTAAACCAATAAGAAATGAGGAAGAAAAAATAAAATTTCCCCCCAGGAGGGACAGGTGTGGACTTGCAAACATAAAGACATAGTGTCTTAACACAAATGATTTCAATAAGAGAGAGAGAAAGAGAGAGGGGAGAGAGAGAGAGGGGTGGGGAGAGGGAGAGAGAGAAAGAGAGAGTGGGGTGGGGTGCGTGGTCGTACGATCAAGATGTCGATATTTAGGAGTACACGGAGATATATCCACGAACCCGGTGTTGGCCGAGCAAATTCCCCAGGATTATTCCCATCCTCCCTGACTCGTTTCAGTGGCGCACGGCGGCAGACATGATAAGGATCAGCGTCTAGTCGGATTGGACGAAGAACCCGAGAATACCACTAGGCATCACGTAGGAAATCGAAATAAAATTAAGCCGATTCGCTCTCCTTGATTATACAGATTACTAGAGAAAAGTAGGACGTTCCCATTTCCACCAGAGCCCATTAAATGGTTGATGCCCTTCTTCATTAACCCGGTGGGTGGAGGAAGGTAAGACACATATGTCTGCTTATCAGACAAAAGGGAATCGACCCTTACATAATTCACATCCTTCTAAAACTCATCAAAAACCCTTGCACTCACGCTCCAAAGAATTAAGCTAGAAGAAGTCTATCAGAATAGCCTATAAGTAACGTACACTTGGCTTTAATGACACAGAGAGAGGAGGAGGAGGAGGAGAGAGAGAGAGAGGGTTAATGACACAAACTAGGTCATTTCTGGACTAACATATGGTTCAATTTTATTTCAAAAATTCGCATGAGAGTAAGGGTTGTTAGCAGTGGGAGGAAACCAGAGGACCCGGAGAAAACCCACGAGGTTGGACATGCGACCCTATTCCTTGTGTGTGGGAGGCAACCGAAGTAGTGGGAGAAAACCCACGAGGTTGGACAGACGACACTATTGCTTGTCACGCACAAACGAGGAATCGAAACCACCCCACTTGACTCAATGTCAGACCTTGTCATACAACGCGCAAGCGTTAACCATTCGGCCACTCACTCTCCTCTTTAATAGACGAAAGTAGATATTTGGAGGATGAGAACTCACCAGTGACCAGAAGAAAGTTCACGTCGATGTATTACTTAATTTAATACACATACGGTAGTCGTTTGGAGCCGGTCACGTGGTCTAAGGGAACCACAGTGACTCTGTGAGTGAGACGCTGGCTCGCTGACCAGAACGGTCTCGGGTTCGCTTCCGGTGTTGGCCGAGAGAGTTCCTCGGGATTTTTCGTAGCTGTTTCCCCTTGTCAATGGTGCAGAATGGAGGTTCTGGCAAGGCATGTGTTCAGTCCTTCGGATGGTACAACAAATCGAGGTCCTGTGTACATATTGGTGTGCACG